ATCCAATTTTTTTTAGCCTTATTACATGTCCTCGAAAGATGATGAAAAGTCCCTTCTTGTTGTTCACATTTCCAACATATGTTTGAAACCCCTTTGTACATTTTTGAAAATCTTTCCGATGACAAATACCCTCTCTACATCATTTTATAGAAATTCTCCTTCAAGTTATAACACAGAGTAAATTTTAACCCTTTCATCCACATATTTTCCCATTGTTCCCTTTGTATATTATATCCAAAGCGTTTAGCCCATTTTATCACACAATCTCTAATTTGTTCATCTTCTGTTTCAAATCTCAATAAAAGCTTACACATTTTAGCAATAAGATATTCGTCATTAGTACACAATTCTGTTTCAAAAACAGCTTTGTTTCATTCAAAACCATATATCTCTTTTTATCACAGGGAAAATGCTCCTTGAACACTGGTGCAGCTGGGGACAGCTGAGGTCTCTTTCACTGATGGGTTGGTGGTGAGATGTAGGCAATGTCATAAGGATATTGCAGAAAAAAGATATTGCCTGCACTCATTTGTTGGAAGAAGAGCAAGGCCTGAAGAGATGTAATGGTTAAGATGTTGACTTTGGATTGTGAAGAGCCATGATCTAATTCACATCAGTCACTGACTGGGAGTCTTTAGGCCTCTCTCTCTGTCACCATTTTTTTCTCTCTCTCTGCTTGTAGTGTTCAGGGAACATGTAAAGATGGAGATGTTGTAGGGATGGAGAATGAGGAGAAATGGAATTTCTTGAAATCTGGCCAGGGTTACATTAGAACAGAAAGTTAAAAAGAAGTAATACAATTACAGGGTGACCCTTAAACAGGAATGCTTTGATAAACTATTGGAATGACCTCCCTGCTATATTTCCCACTAGTAGAACCCTTCTTGATATTATCAACATGTACAATAAACAACATTGTTTATGTTGCAGTATCCTTTGACACCATTCCATTCATACTCTAAAGGAAGGACAGTTGCCTGGTTTATTTTATTTATTATTTATTTATTCATCAAATTTGTCACCGCCCATCTCGTGAAGAGGCTCTGTCAGGGTCATAGTATTAGGCACTGAGCTACACACATAAATGCTTTTTTTTTTTTAATAAAAATTTTATGATGTTTTTCAAAAAAGTTAAAATACAGAAAAATCAAGAAAAAAGAAGGGGAAAAAAAGGGAAAAGAAAAAAAGGGGGAGGGAATAAGAGGGAGGAAGAAAGAGTAGCTTCTAAGTTTCCTTGGTACAGGAATAGATAAAAATATATTTGCCTCTTACTCTACTATCTAAAAATTTACATAATAAAAATAGTTTTTTATCTAATATTCAGAAAGATTCCTAAAAATTAATCTGTTTGAATATTACATATGATTTGTACAGGATATTTCTATAAGAATAACATCAATCAGCAAATCCCAAAATCAAAGTTGCATTTTTTTGAGTATCAAACAAAAATCTAAGAGTGGTTTCCAATTAGACACAAAGTTAGGGCCCTTCTTTGAGCAAAGCAGTGAGTTTCACTATCTCAGCCAATTCCATTAATTTTAATATCCATTCTTTAGCAGTAGGCATTTGTATGTCCCTCCATTTTTGCACATATAGGAGTCTCGCTGCAGTTATCATCTAAAGAAATGAGATTCCTTTATACATCTTTGACAATTTGTCTGGTGTCAAATACCAACGATACATCATTTTATAGAAATTTTCTTTTAATGTATAATTAGCTTTAACTTTATTCCACAAATGTTCCCACTGATCTAACATTACATTATATCCAAGGTTTTTTGTCCATTGAAGCCTACAATCTTTAACATATGCATTTTCCAAGTTCATCTTTAACAAAAGTTTATACATATCATGGAATTTTTGTAAAAGGCAGGAGCCCAATGCTGAGGAGGAGAACCATGTTTATTGCAATGATCATTGGATGCCTGTTTTCTAAGAAAGAGGGACCCTGAACAATAGAAAAGCATAGAATTTATACACTTTTGAGGCTGAGAG